AACTTCACTCAGGCAGCCCAGTGTCAGCAGCTTTGCCAGTGTCACGGGAAGTTTGTCCCTGGGAAGCGCGGTCTGGGAAGTTCCCACAGACGTGGCAGCATGACGCATTCTGGGGATCAGCGTCAGCAGCTGAGAGTGGAATGTAAAGCTGACCCTGAGGTTCACAGCCCAGAACTCCCTTCCCTCGGGTTACAGCTCTGCGTCTGGGGGCAAACGGGGTGTCTCCACTCAAACTGCAGCACCTCCTTCCCCCAGCCGGGAGCCCACCCACAGCTCTCCCTTCTCTTCTCACCACCCACGGGAGGTTTCAGAGCCAAAGCAAAGGAAACAACGTGTGTACTCTGTAATTTCACTCCACTTGCACCTTCTATGGTGCAACTGCATCCTGCCAACAGCAGAGGATTCTCTGAGGCAGCACCCCCTTGGACTTTGCTGGGCAGGCAGAGGGAGGACCACCAGGGACTCACATGAAAGCAGGAAGACCAGCCCCTGGTCCTGCAGGTCCCCAACAGCCTCCACCCCCAGGGAAGATCTCAGCAGGGGGCCATCTTTCCCTGGCTGCCTTCAAGGGAGTTTGAGCTCCTTGTCCAGAAACCAAATGCAAGCTGTCTTGGAAATCCATGCAGCTCTTCAGCAACCTATCCTCTGAGGCCACGAGCCTTCGGCACGCAGCCCTGCTCTCTCATGGGACACTGGAGACTGGCCTGGACTTCCCACTGGGGTGGGATAGAGCAAGGTGACCCTCACCCCAGGGGCAAAGTGTGCTTCTCTGGTGAATGAAGAAGTCTATGCCATCATGGTGGACTGTGGCTTTCTACATGGGATCGCCCCTAACAGCTCTACAGTGTGTCTGCGGCTGTAGGCTTTACAGCGCCGGGAGAGGAGGCAGTTACAACGACAAAAAACAGCTCCATCTCCTTAAGGGGATGATGGGGAGAAAAGGTAGAAAGTGTTAGCTGTGCAAGCCCCACTCTGGCTTCAGCATGTGAGGTTGTAAAGGGGAGCCTTCTGGAAAGAATGGGCCAGAGAGAGGCACAAGGCCTCTGATCCAGTGTTGAAGAGAGGAGGAGGTGCAAAGGCCTGGGCAGGGCTGCTGAGGCCGCTCAATCTAAGGCCTGAGGCCAAAGCAATACCTTGCCGTGGCCTTGAAGTTCTGCCTCCCTGGTAACAATGGAAGTAGGTCCTTTGCACACCCTGGAGACACTACTCTTCTAACCAGCCAGTAGACTCCAATCTTTCTATAGTGATTAAGAAAGAAGAGTGCAGGAGGCACAGAGCAAGAGTTCCCACCTGAGCTGGAGTGAGCCAGTGATGCACACTGCTAGAGAGGCCGAGGAATCCCTTTCCCACACTAGAAGGCGACTTGGGCCATGGAAGTTCACCCAGGGCCCTTCCACAAGTATCCCAGCAAATGTTCCGACTGGACAAGGGGAACCAGAAGTGGCCACTTGGGACTTCTGTAGCTCTCCTCTCTCCCCTTGCCTTATGTGAGCTTGCTTTTGCTCTATTTTAAGAACTGTCGGCTTTTCAAATTCTCCTATGGAACAGGGAGTGTGATGCTTGGGGCTTGGGGCTTGGGGCTTTCTGGTTTTTCCAAATACTGTAACCAATGTCATCAAACTCAACCCACTGTCACTACTTGAGGACAGCTGACTTAAAGGCCTCCAAAAGAGGGGAAAAGAAAATATTCTTTGGCACGAAAACAAGATGAGTCCTAAGGCTTTGGTCAGTGGGACATCAAGGTAGCGGGACTACATTTGCCTATTCTGATGACTTCTGATCTGGAGTTAGAACGTAGTCATTTCCTCCCCAAAGGAGATGCCTCTAAGATGTGCAGGGAATCCACAAAATCAAGAGGCCTGGATAAGGTATTACACTTGCAAATAATAGTCTTGCTGTATTTTCAGAGGAAGTCCTCTAGGAGGCCTAATTGTTGACCAGAAACAAATGTCCAGAGGGAACAGGGAAAAGAGTGTCTGTGCTGCACTTCTGTAAAAATTCTTCTTCAGATTAACAGTGGATCTAGCACTTCCTTAGAAAAGAAGTGGAAAAAGGAACTGAATGTGTCATTTGAAAATATAAACAAACATACTGTAAGCTACCGTGTTTCCTAACTCCCTGGACACCCTGTATTTTACGCACAAGCTATAAAACCGCACCTTTCTCAAGTGTGTGGATCCTACTAGGTGCTTTACAGACTGTTATCTTTGCACAAGAACCGCTGGTTTTAGGATAATGTCCCTTTCTTCTCGGATTAAGAAACTGAGGCGCAAAGAAAGTAAGGGTTCCAAACTTAAATGCCAATAGGGACCATGTCAATGACTAAGATTAGGGGTACTACCCCACACAAAGAGCAACGGAGTCAAGCCAGTCCTTAGTAGGCGGGGACTCAGGCCCTGTAGGGCCAGATCGTTCCACTTTTCCAGAGAAGCCAGAAATCCGGATTCAGGCTGAAATCCTGATTTTTCGATACGAATGCTTCTAGACCCTGGAAAGCAAATTCAGCAGCAGGCATCCAGTTTGCAAACTCGGAGTGAAAGTAACTTGCTTAGGGTTCCACCCCTGGGAAAGAGTAGGGCAAATGAGAACCCAGCTCAGCTGACTTCAACTGTTGTCTTTTTGCTTAGGCCACTAGAGAAGTGGCTGCACTGAAATAAGTGAAAATTTGTTTCAATGACTCAACTCCCAAAGCCACTGGTCTCAGCATCTAGTGGCAACTGCGTGAGGCTCTCTGGGCAAGTAAACAGCAGGAGGGGTTCTTGAGGGAAGGCTGAACAGCTAGCACTGAGCAAGGGGGTGTGGCTCAGCTCTGAGCTCTTAAAATCTGCACGGAATGCAGATTTCCCCAATGTGTCCCTGGCTACCTTCTGGATTCAATGCCAGCAGAAAGTCAGGAAGCTCCTTACACTGCCCAAACACGACTCTTGGAAATGCATGAGACCCCCACCAGTCTCTCTATCTGGAGAGTGCTCAACACAGGCCTCCTCTAGCAGGAATACGCTGCTAACCGTCCTTACAGAGGCTGAGGTCTCTGTTCCACAAGGCATGGGAATTACGCCCCCCTTCCCCAGCAGAAATGAGACACCTGTGATCACCACGCCACTAGTTCCAGAGACTGGCTGTAGCTTCCAGAGCAGGGTGAATGTGCCACTTGCTTCCCCACTCCTGACTGCTGTAAAAGGTGCTCCCGAAACAGCTGAGCCGGCTTTGCCTCATGGAGACCTGAAGAGCTGCACGCACGCACGCACGCACGCACGCTCGCACGCACACAGAAGCAGCCATTTCTAGAAATGCCTGAGAAAAGCCCTGAGAACGCTGGAAATCCTACGCCTGAGCTGGACAGAGCTCAGGGCGGCACTGCAGGCCTTCCCAGCTGCACGACTGGGCAGCTCCCTGAAGGAGAAAATGCCATTGCTCAAGGTGGCAGTGGGTGTCAGTGTGAGCCACTGAACTCCCGGGAACATGGCTGACACAGGCAGGCCCGCCCAACAGCTGTGGGTGAGTAACACCCTCCAGAGGATACACCCCCTTCAGCCCCAAAGCCCTGCGAAAGGTCACACCCCCCAACCCCCGCTGCAGGCCCCAACTTTCAAAGGGGCTGCTTTCTGGCAACCTAGAGAGCGACCCCAAACAGAACCTGACCTTGCCCTGATCACGGGGGAAATTCAGCTTTATTGCCTTGCCAGCCAACAGCCACCTCCACAGAAACCATCCTCCAAAGGAAATCAAAGAGGAGAGGCAGCTATGTGGCCGTGGCCTTTCTTTGGCAGAATAAAAACCAAACCAAATCGAGCCCTACCCCCAATCCCACCCCCAGGCAAGTATCATTTTAAAACCAGAGGCTCAGGGCCTCCTTTTCCAAACACCAACCTCTTACAGCAAAAACCTGCAACACCGCCCCCACACCAGCACGTCCACACCGCCTCACAGGGAGAGGGAAAAGGCGCCATCGGAGAGGGTCACGCCCCATGCCACCAGATCAGAATAGCAGTTTTGTAAAGGAACCTTCCTAAGGGTAGACCGCACGTCGGGAGGGGAGCGCTTTCCAACTAGTGCTGCGCACCTGAAAACAGACCAACAGACGGGGCAGGCCAAGGTCTCCACGCTATTTTAGACCACAGATGCCTTTCCAGCCACGTTCCTGCCCGTCAGGATCTGAGCGCGACCCTGCCCCAGGCCTCCAGAACCGCCTGCCACTCGTGTGCGTTCGGGAGAGCCTTGACCTCCGCGCTAGCCGCCCTCGGTGGGGGTGGACGGTGCGAAGCCAGCCACATGGCAAACAGAAAGGGCTCTGAAACCTGGCTTCCTAGGCAAGCCAACTAGTCCTGAAGTTAACCCGCCAGCCATTGCCCGGTGGACCCCTCCCACCTCCCACCCCCGCTGCTTTCAGCAGTGTTATTTTCAACCTCTCAGGGGACTCTTGGCCAAATTTAAAACCACCTTGGCAAGCCCTGAGAAGTAGCGGGCGCCCAATCCAGAAGTCCTCCCTCGGCCTTCCCTAAAAGGCTCCGCGGCAGGCGTGCCGCTTGCCGCCCCCACCCCCACCCCCAGGCTTCGGGCCCCTTCGCGGCAAACCCCACCGGGGCAGGAAACCCAAGATGCGCCACCCGACTTCCCCGCCGCCAGCGTCTCCCCAAGGTGGCGCGGCCCCGCCGCCGCGGGGTACGGAGTCCCGGGGGCGGGGCGGGGTAGGGGAGGGGCGGGCGCCACTCCCCGCCGAACCACGCACGGCCCTTGCTCGGCCCGCCACTTCGGGGCTCTCCGTGGCTTCTGGGGCCGAGGGTAGGGTGGGGGTGGGGGGACAATTAAGAAGAAGACAGCGAGCTTCCCGCCTCCGCACGGCTTGATCACTTAAAGCGCTAGGGCAGCAGCCGGTCCAAAAACGCGTGCACCCTCCTCTGGGCCGAGAGCCGCGCGCTCCGCGCCCGGGGGCCGCCGCCCGGCCGAAGGTTAGCTAACCCCAGAGGTCGGGGATGGGGGGAGAGGGCGACGCCGCTAACCTGTATGCACTCGGTAATGGGCTTTGAGATGGGAGGATTTTCCGTAGACTTTCCCACAGCCGCTGTAGGGGCACTTGTGCCTCTTTTCGGAGGCGTGTTTCCCCTTCGCAGCCACTCCGGCGTGGAGGAGGGAGAGCGGGCTGGGCGCGCTGCCAGGTTCCTGTCTCTCCTCGGGGCTGTGGGAAGGACTCGACCCAGATTCGGTGGTCACGTCGCTCTCGGAGCCCAAATCCTCATCGGGGCTCTCCAGACTGTCGCTGCACACCGAGGGGGTCTGCATGGGCCGGTACTTGTTCAGGTCCAACAAGCTCTTGGCGATGGTGACCAGCGTGCAGTAATCCTTCCAGGTGTCCCCCGGGTCACCGTGCTCCTTGGTCACCTCACGCTCAGGTAGTCGCAGCCGCTCGGCGTCCGGAGAGCCCCCGTGCTCCGGCACCGCAGCGCGGTTCGAAATGGAAACCAGACACTGGGCAGCCACGAAGTCCATGTAGGCGGCCGCGGACATGGTGCGGGCGACGGCAAAGCCCCGGCGGCGCGGGCCAAACTTGGCTGTGGCTGCGGAGCTTCGGCTCGCCCTGCCCCTGGCCTCGGACGACGAGCGCGGCGCGGCGCGGCGCGGCGGCCAAGGGGGCGGGGGCGCGGGGCGCTTCCGACTCGCAGGAGCGCCGAGCCGACCTCAGCCCCTCATCTTTACGTAACCGGCAGCGCCTCCGCACGCAGCATCCACCGCCCCGGGCTCCTCCGCCGCGCCGGGCGCGGTCCCCCCCGACGGGCGCGCCGGGCCCCTCCGAGCCGGGGCTCCCTTGGAAAGATGCCACACGTGGCGGTCGCAAGTTGATTCGACCGCAAGCGCCCCCCGAGGCGCCGGGAGGGGAAGCTGCAGGAGCGGCACACGCCCTCGGCCGCCTCTCCGTCGAGCCCAAGGCCCCCCACCCTCAGCCGACCACGCCGACGCGGGTGGCGAGGGCCGCCCCGGGCGCCGGCTCTAGGAGACACTTTTCCCCCAGCCCAGGGACGGCGTCTGAGCCCCGGCTCCTGCCGGTCCGCACCGTTCCGGCATTCTCTTGCTCAGTAACAATTTCGCAGAATCCCATCACGTCACAATCCAAACCCCCTCCCATTGGCCAGTGGGGAGGGTGATTCAACTCTGTTTACTTTCTCCCCCTGCCAGTCAGAAGGGCCCTTCGGAGGAGAGGTGCGTCTCGAACCGAGGCGTGCGGCCAATCCGACTGTTCCGTGCCGGTGCCTCGTGCTACCCCGACAGCCTCCAAGGCTGACATTTAAAAGGGTAACAGCCGGGAGGCAGCACCGGAGCGGCCGCCCCTCGCGGGCCGCGCCTCGCCGTCCGGCGGCCTGGCCGGGCCTCCCGGCTCACGGGTCCCCGGCTGGCGGAGCGTCGGGACGCGTCTCCGTCGGTCACTCGCGCGCGTTCCTGTGACGGAACAAGAACCCTGGGCACCGCGTTTCCAGCTCGCAAACAGTTAAGTGACTTCCTGCAAACGCTACAGTCCCAGCAACCCGCCCGCCAATCCAAAGTAAGTTGGTTGACGTCACTGGCCTGGGCTCAGCCAATGAGAAGGGCGTTCCGAAAGCGAGCGCTCGACACTTGTAAACGCGGAGAGCCGTAGTGAAACTGGACGCGTCCGCAGGCTCCGTGCAGCTGGTAGTAAATGGGAGAGCTGGACAGGAGGACAGGCGTGGTGAAGACTCGCCGGTGTGGATCTGCAGCTTCGAGAACTGCCGTTATGTCAGGACAAGCTGTCCAAGAATGAACACAAATGGGGAAAAGCCCATTGCGGTGTTTTGAGATGCGGTATACTTTGGCGACAGATTTTAAAAACTCTTCTATCCAGTGCCCGGATAGAAGAGGCCCAGCTCATCTCAGGAGTTGGAGCTAACATAGGTGTCCAGCAGTCTAGGGGAACACCCTGCCTTTGCTTTGACCATACCTCCTATTTCCTCTGCTTTCTGGGTGCCATTTACTCTAAATAAATGGCTTCTGTTATGTCTTACAGCTGTTTTAACCCACCTTCAGATAAGGAGCCAAAAATCCCTAGTGTATGTGTGTGTGTGTGTGTGTGTGTGTGTGTGTTTTAATCCATCTTAGTTCATCTTTCCGGAGACCCCAGCATGGATGTTAGAGTATGTCCCTTGTCTTATAAGAATGCACAGTCAAACACAGCATAGTGGCTTGTCTTGGTTATCAGGCTGATATACAATCACCAAAATATTAACTGTGCTGAACAGATTCTTGAGTACTAGAACCAAGCCACCGAACATTGTGGCGATACTTGATCAACAGTTAGTGTGGGTCTTGGAGTCTGATTATTGCCCTGGAGGGACTACTGGGGTTGTTTTCCATCTTGATGGCTGAGAAGAGAATCTAGGGCTAGTGTGTCTTGCAGGAGGCATATTGCCATCACAATTGATTCACAAATACATTCACTTCCCTGAGTGTGAGGGACAGTTGCTTTTGCGGGCTACAGTTTGGATGACATTCAACCCTCACCCCCACTGGCTGTTAACCTTTGCTAAAATTTGAGTAACACCAGGTACTTGGTCTCCCTGGGAAGGGCCCCAAATTAACCACCTTCCCAACTTGAAGCTTAGGGTAGTTTATTTTCACTGCACTTTTAAAGCGATAGGAGGAAGTTGAAGGCACGGGACAGGAAGGTGTAGAAAGGGGAGCCTGGTCTACCAAGGATACCATGGCCATCATTTTCTCTGCCCCCTTTCCAGGAAGGCTCACTCTGCCAGGACCCCATACAAGCACCCTGCGTGCACCCTGACAACCACCCTGGAAGGCAGGTGTATCACTGTATGTGAAAGTGAAGCCATCATCTTGGAGTTCTTGCATTTCTATCACCTTAATTTTAGAAAAGAATTCATTGAAGCCCATGGGAGTCTGCCTACTTCCTAATTTTTCTGGGGCAAACTCTGTCCCGTAGGATACATGATCACTTAGAAACTGCACCCTTGCTTCCGCTTTGAGTCCCCGCACAAAGACCAGAGGGATGTCTCCAGTAGCCCCTTGGGTCAAGGGCTGCAGAACCTCTCAGATGCCCAAATTAGCTGGCATTGCAGTAGAGAAACAGACTCCTCCCTGGGGCTGGGCATCTGGAGAGATGGGCTTAGGGCTAACACCATCACAATTCCACAAGATAAGAAAACCTGTATCTCCCATGAACACTGTACTCCAGTAATTTGAATATCAATCACTTTGGGTTAAAAAATGTATAGAATTTTTCCTCCCTTACTTAACTCTCCTCTCTTTAATTCCATTTAATTCCATTTTTTTGTGGACAGAACATCAACCTGAACTCTCCTGATTCATTCATTCCAGACTTTAAAAAAACTAGTAAGTGAATACTGGTCTTTCATCCACATGAAGTTCTCTTATACATTTACAAACATGACTGCTGCTTGACTTAATGTAGGATCTCTCTCTCTCTTTTTTTTAAAGATTTATTTCATTTGAAAGGCAGAGTTAGAGAGCAAGACAAAAAGAGAGAGACAGAGAGAAATCTTCCATCTGCTGATTTACTCCCCAAATGGCCGCAACAACCAGGGCTGGGCCAGGCCAGAGCCAGGAGCCAGGAGCTTCATCTGGGTCTCCCACGTGGGTGGCCGGGGCCCAACCATTTGGGCCATTTTCCACTGCTTTCCCAGGCACATTAGCAGGGAGCTGGTTTGGAAGTGGCACAGCCAGGACTCTAATGGGGTGCCCATATGTGATGCCAGTGACTCAGGCTTAAGCTCGCTAAGCCTCAGCACCAGCCCCGGGATCACTTTTGAAGCCCAAGAATTCTGGAATTATTGAGCGCTCTCTCCTTTTTCTTCTTTTCCACCCATTCTCCTGATATCTCTGTGTTCCTAGCAATGAACTGGGCATGGGGGAATACAGAAAACAATAGAGTCTATCCACAAGACTTGTGTGTTAAGTCACAAGTAATAATTCCTACATCAGGATGTTTTCCCTTGCATTCTCAACAGTGAAATTTCTTTGCTGTTTTGGAATGTGTATTGTAATAGGTTGATGACTAAAAGTAGCTTATGCTGTTTTGCCAGCATGGTAAAACATGTCCTGGTTAATTCTGACAAAATAGATTATCCCAAATTAAAATGAACACTCTGAAGGAAAACAAACAATTTACAAGTATACATTAATACCTCATAAAACAAGAAGTCTGCTTTTCAAATCCACACAAACCAGCCAGGAGGAGCAAGAAAATTCAGCTGTCACCATGCTTCTAGTTTGTGTGTTTTCCTCTCTAAATCCTGACTAAGCCTCTGCTTAATTATTCAAGTTCTCAAAACAATGGTCTGTTGTCGTGACATGCAAGCCGTGTTTTCTGTGCATCCTAAAATGATCAGGATCACTTCTAGGTAGACAGTGTGGCCAGTGGAGGCACAACTTTCAGCAGGTGCTGGCCAACGTGGGGAACTGGCTTCCCGGGCCTGCCAGGAGCTCTGTGAGCTCCAGCTACAAGGAGCTATTTCCTTATCTGCGAAAGGGGTGGGATGGGTGGGATGGGGGGATCAGTACAGCTCCATAGTCCCTTTCAAACTCCAAACACACAGGGGATCTTCAGAACAAAGATGCCAGGGGAAAAAGACTGGAGCAAGCCCTGAGTTCTTGAAATACCATCTCATCTGTGCCTCTACAAACATCCTATGGCAACGAAGCACAGTGTACCTTAAACCAACATTTAATGGGCAGCAGGCACAAACATACATTAATTCGAACTCCCTTCTGTAATTTTCACAGTCTCGATTTTTTTTTTTTTTTTCACTTGGTTGGTAGAAGTAGACAGGGTCTCAAAGACAGAGACTCGGTCTTTTCCCTCTAGGTAACTTTTCCACTCTAGCCCTAAGCGCAGTATCTCCTGGTGAATGCTGCAGATTCCCAGGCCCGGCCCCTGGAGATTTGTATTCAAACTGTGCCCAAGGCAGGGTTTCCCCACCCCGCCGGGTGCAGTTCATCTACCTGGCGCCCGATTTAAAGTCCAGATTGCCGGGGAGGCTGAGGCTGCAATCCCCCGGTGTAGGGACGGAGTTCTGCCAGTTCTGGCTTTCCTCTCCGGTTCCTGCTGGGAGGCGTGGACGGTGCCGGGCAGAAGTGCCAGCCTCCCCGCGGGAAGGAAGAGCAGATGGCTCGCTGCGGGGAGACGATCACGTGTCCGACCTCACTCTGGGCTGGAGCCAGACCTCTCCCTTTCAGGGCCCACGTCCTCCGGCCTCAGCGACCCCATCTAGGCACACGGGTCCCGTGTGAGGAAAAGCGGGTGCGTTTCCGTGAGAGCAGAGGAATTGGGGAAGGTGAAGAGCAGCGGGGGGCGGAGGGACGGAGGGGATCTGGCTTCTAACAATGGTGACGTTCCTGGATTTGAAATGCAAGCAGGTAAAGCCGGACCTGGGGGAACGCCCGAGGCCGCCGAGCCAGATAACACCCAGGGCCTGGAGGGGGTGGGGAGCTGCGGCCCGCGCGAAACTTGTCCGACGCCCTACTTTGCTCCCGCCCCACTTAGCAGCCTCCCGCCCCTCCGCGGAGCAGAAAGGCCACCCGTTCATGCATATGCAGCAGGATAAGTTTAGCTTGGAGCAGCCCCGCGCCGCGCTCCGCGCAGCACCCGCGCTCGGAGGCGGGCGCTGGGCGCGGGCCGCAGACGGGCGGGAGCAGCAGCCACTAGCGGGCCGCGCGCCCCAGCCTGGCATCGCCCTTTTAAAAAGTCTTCCGCAGGCGGCCGCGCCGCAGCAGCCGGAGGAGGCGAGTTCATCTGAGGACAGTCCCAGTTCTCAGAAATCCCTTCCCTGCTGGAACATCAAGCTCCCTTTACTGCAGTTGAACAAACTGCCCTAGATTGCGGGATGAGGAACCCGCCCCAAACTCGTGCAAGGAGCTCCGGGCGCCCGCGCCCACGTGAGCTAACCTTGACATTAGCCCCCGCACCCGCGAGGCGTGCGGAGAGGCGCGCGGGGGCGGTAAGGGGCGGGGTGCGGGCTCCCTGCGGTCCTAGCCCTTCGGTTTGCCCCCTCCGCATGCGTGACTACCCCCACCATCATGTTTCGTAACTCTAGCGGGGTTGCTTTTATATATATATATATACACACACTCTCCTGGTAAAGATGGATGTGGGGTGTGTTGGGGAGAGGACAGGCCACCTGCCTGTGGTCCCCCTGGGAACACTGCAGAGTAGGGTGTCGGGATGACATCAGCTTCTAAACATAGCCCGCACCGCACCGCACCGCACCCCAACTCCGAGCGCCGCGAGCCCGGCGCGGGGGTGAGACGGGAGCGGGGGAGGCGGGCGCTGCTATCCCGGGCGGGGCGCGCTGGCCGGCCCCGCCGGGCTGTGCGGGAGGAGATGACTTTGCAGGATTCGTGCTCCCAGCATCTGCAGGCAGATTTCTCCCGCGATGGCCCGGCCACGGGGTTAGGAACATTCCTGCTGTTCGGCGCTTGCCCCTGCCCCACAACAGTCATGCACGCACACGCGCGCGCCCAGCGCCGAGTTCCAGTGTGCCTTTATTAATAAATCAACCCCACCCCGAACCCCAGCGCCCAGGTTGGGGCCGGGGGCCTTGCCCTGCGACCCTGCGCGGGCCTCCAGCGCAGGCTGCGCGGGGGTCGGCGCGGCCCTCGCGGTGAGTCAGAAGGGCTGTGTTTCCTGTGGTTGTTGTGGAACACTTTGTCCTTTTTACCACCGCCGCCCCCCCCCCCCCGCCCCGTCTCCACCCCCTTGGTAAATATAGCGCTCACGTTTCATCATCCCTTTGTCCAACGAGTGCCAGACGCCCCGGCCCGCGGCCCCCGCCGCCTCCTCCCCTCCCGCTCGCCTTTACCTCGCGTAACCCCGCGCGGGCGGGCAGCAGCCTGCCCCGCGCCCCCGCCAGCGCCGCGCCCTGGCGCCGCAGTCCCCTGCCACCCCGCCCCACTCGACCCCCTCTCCAGCCTCGGGTCCCCGTCGCGACTCCTGGCGCCCCAGGAACGGCC